TATATAGGGACCAAAACCAGCCGATAGACGAACGCTTAGCTAGCTAGTGATCGTGCACGTTACACGACGGGGTACCAAATGGCGGGGATGCTTGATCGGAAGCCTTCAGCTAAACAAGTCGACTTAAACAGTGGTGGTCAGCATCCAATGAGTGATTGCTGTGGTCAATAATTTTGGGGAATTATTTACCTCTACAGCTCACTCCCCCCTAGTGGGGTCGTGAGGACCCTAAGACAGAACCAGCCGGAAGTAAAAAAAACTCGATGGTTCCCTTTCGGGTGAAAAAAATCTTCCGAGCGGCTTGGTCTTATGCCTACTGGTTTGTCTGCCTATGCTAATGGGGTGTTTGTACATAGTTTCCTGGTGTTGTTCGTTGGATTCCGTGCTTCGTTTGTTTCCCGTCCAGTGCCCGTCGCACCTGGAAAAGAAAACAAGAACGCTAAGAACCATGTCGAGGAAAATGTACGAAATGACCTTTTTGGTTAAAAAAAATTTTGTGCATTTACTATACAGTTAAATAATGCTAAGTTCAGAACATCGAAAAAAAATACATCTAATTAATTTTTTTGTGTATGTTACATGAACTGTTGAGAAAAAAATTTTTTTGTGTTCGGTGGTACTGTATATAAAAAAAATTTTTACGTCAAAAAAAAATAGTTAGTACCACAAACGAGTGAGTTGCGTGAATCACACGACTTCGTTAAGTCAAATAAGTGTGCAGATATTCTGGGAACCTTACGGTGCGTCCAGAACGGTTTTTCTTAGGAGGCTCAACCTTAGTAGCCAGTGGGCGAATGCCCTTGCAGTCAATATTGTGACCAAGGAAGTCGAGTGAGTCAACACCGATTTGACATTTTTGAATATTAATGGTAACACCATGTTGGCGTAACCTTTCAAATGCCAAGTCCAAGTGCCTAAGGTGAGTTTCCTTGTCTGGACTGGCAATGAGGCAGTCGTCTAAGTATGCGTATACAAAGTCGAGACCGCGAAATACTTCGTCAATGAAGCGTTGGAATGTTTGGGCTGCATTCCGAAGACCGAATGGCATACGTAGAAATTCAAAAAGTCCGAAAGGCGTAATGATAGCCGTTTTCGGGATATCTTCTGTTGCCATCGGGATTTGGTTATACGCTTTAACCAAGTCGATTTTAGAGAATATAGTCGCGCCGGATAAGGTTGCCGTCAAGTCGTGTATATGAGGCAACGGGTAGCAATCAGGGGTTGTTTTGGCATTCACTCGCCGGTAATCACCGGTGGGTCGCCAATCGTTGCTATCCTTTTTCGGAACCATATGAAGTGGGGATGCCCATGGGCTATTCGAAGGTCGAATGATGCCAAGGGTAAGCATATGGTCAAATTCATTCCTGGCGATTCTCAGTTTGTCAGGAGCTAATCGTCGTGCTTTAGATGTCACAGGTTGTCCTGTGGTAATGATGTGGTGCATAACATTGCTGGTTATGCACGGTAGGTCGGTCGACGGGCAATTAAGTTCCGGATACTTGTCAACAATAGGTTGAAAAGTTGGATCAAGGATTGCCTTTATCTTAACGGGTGACAAACTAGGGCCTATGTAGGTGATGCCTTTGATAGACAGACTAGTAGTATTGTCAATCAGTCGTTTTCGGCGGACGTCTACGAGTAAATCATGATGATTAAGTAGGTCCGTGCCAATGATGGGCATCGTAACGTCAGCGAGAAGGAAAATCCATCGATTAGGTTTGCGTAAACCTACGTTCAGATAGACGTATTTCCTACCAAAGGTTGCGATTGGTTTTCCATTTGCAGCCTGTAAGTTGAAGGTGGGTTCCTTCTGTCGATCTGCTGCTGTAGCAGGAAGGACGCTGACTTCGGCTCGTGTGTCGACTAAGTATCGAGTCTGGCTTATCACATCATGGATGTAAAGTAGGCGGCTAGTGCCACCGGCGACGGTTGCCGCTAACGCGTGCCGGCGGGATAGTTTCCCACAGACTTTGAGACATTTCCGAAGTTACAAGGTTTACGCCAACACTTCGCTTCTTGGCCATAGGTGTTGTGATACCAGCACCAGTCAGGGTTTCTCAGTGAACGTGGTTTGGACTTAGATCGACCACGCGAGTTCCTGCGTTGAGGAGATTTAGGACGACGGTTGGAGGATTTAGAATGCGTGTTTGACCTAAACATCTGCTGAAGGGAGTTGCATAACTCTGTCATTGCAGGATCCTCACTCGAAGTCTGCTTAGTCATTGAGCATATTTCGGGGACAGACCGTTTAGTTATTTCTAGGATCTTATCTGCAGTAATGGCTAAGTTCTCTATTACAGTACCCTCAAGTGTCACAAGTACGGTCTGTACAGATTGTGGCAACTTGGTTAAGAAGAGTTCTCTAAACAGTCCTTCGTCGAACTGACATTGGCCGACGACTTGTTTCATTCTTGTCAGCATGCTCACGGCTGACTGATCTCCTAACTCGATGTTGCGAAATAATTCATCTAGACGTTGTCTGTCCGTGAGAGCGTTTCTCCTGAGGAGGGATGCTTTCAGCAACTCGTACGAGTTACTTACCTCGGGACTCAACATCTGTGATGTTACGTACTTGCTGAATTCCCGCGGTAGGGCGTGAATAACTGCAAGTAACTGTGAACGTTGATCAGTTATCCCATGCTCACAAAAATCTGCTTCAGCTAGCAGAAACCAAGTTTCAGCATTATCTGGCCAGTATGGTACGAGCTGAATGGTTTTAGGAGTTGAGCGGATACGGATGACCTTGGGACTAAGATCACTCATGACGAAAATTATGTCGAATAATATATGGTACGAGAACAAATACAAAATGGAACGAACTCACCGGGATTATCTGAGTAATTGTCGCAGATGAAGTTCGCGGTTAGGCTCACCAGTTTAAAGGTGGGCGGATATTAAAGGTTTGACGTGATATCTCGTTCAACAACTTCTAATTAATTTATTCTCGCGTACCAAAGACAAAGCAAAAGCCAATAATTGGTCGTCCAAACGAAGAAATGTATTTAGGAACCAAAACCAGCCGATAGACGAACGCTTAGCTAGCTAGTGATCGTGCACGTTACACGACGGGGTACCAAATGGCGGGGATGCTTGATCGGAAGCCTTCAGCTAAACAAGTCGACTTAAACAGTGGTGGTCAGCATCCAATGAGTGATTGCTGTGGTCAATAATTTTGGGGAATTATTTACCGCTACACTTTGCTTCACATGAAAATAAGCTGTGTGCACATGCAGAGACATGTGAATCTATCAATCTATGTCAAGCAGAAAAGTGGCTTCCACTGAATACCCGTTTTAGTAGAAAGCATCACCATCTGATCATTAATTTCTTGTGGTAGCAAAGCGTCAAGACAGCTAGCTGAAACGTAAGCGCTTGCAACAAAAATCTACAACCGTTCACAGTTTCCACTACTCGTGACAATAAATTTTATCAGAAAACAATTCTGTTTGGACAGGTGTAGTTTCAACGCAGAAGACGCTTGATCTGACACTAAAGAGATATGAGAATATGTTGTTTAGTGGTTGGGCAAGACTCGAATATTGAAATTTGAGTTGGCATTGGTTTTGTATGTGTCCCTGACCTCAGGGACACGTTTCAAGGTCGAGGTAGGCGTGTAATCTCGTATGTTAATATGTAGGTGATTAAATTGAATAACCAATCTGGAAGAAAACGAATGTAAATATTCGAAATCTGCTCATAGATTGTATTTTTTGGTGACTCTTAACGAGAGCAGCCTGAAATCAAACTAGAACCAGGTGTGCGTATGTTAAAATGAGAGTCTTTATAAAGACCGACTGGGTATTCAGATTTCAGATTTATTGGTTGAGGATTGAAGGCTTGGAGCCCATGTTATTCCTTTTCTAGTAAATTTTTGTGGTTGTCGAAACCCTTATTGAACGAATCAGTTGAGGTTGCAGACACCACTTCTTCTGGGAGTCGGTTAACCGACTCCCAGAAGAAGTGGTGGAATTCCAATTGGAACCGAGTCATAAACTCTTAAGAGTTTATGACTCGGTATGAGAACCAGTACTCGACAGCAATATGATTTCTTCTTGGCTTTTGAACTCTCCTGCTATGTCCTCTAAGGTGTTCCAACCTGGTGGGAAGGAAAAGAGAGAATAGGTCAGGTCCGTAGTCATTATTTAAAATTCTAAACATTGTGATTAAATCTCGTCTCTGCCTACGGTATGACAGGGAGAAGAGATTTAAACTGTCTAGTCTTTTCTCGTATGATAAGTTAGTCATGTCGTGAACCATACGTGTTGCATTGCTTTGAACCCTTTCTAGAATGTGTGAGTCCCCTTGTAGACAAGGACTGGCGGCCTGAATGCAGTTTTCCAGTCTTGACCTCACCAGAGATGTATATAAGGAGGTGGAAATATCTCTAGTGATTCTAGTTAAGGCTCTTCGAAGTGCCCATAAGGAGCTGAAACTACGTGCAGCCACCGCGCGACAGTGTGCTGTAGTTTTTAAGTCGAGTGATGTCCCCAGCATCGCTCGGCCTTTTGTTTGAGAGTGCAGCTCTAGCCTTTACACAGCCAAGTGTGACCTACAAGGCAGTAGGAGTGGAGTAAGGAGTCCACTATCCATTGGCAGCCGGTGACCGGAGTTCGGTTCATACGCCTTTCGAATGGGGCCAGACATCCAACAAGCCCTTTGTCCATACGTCTGCCGGTGAGCTTCATACGCCAGTCGTTGAAGGTTTGGAATCAGGGTTTAGCCATCTCCCCTAGACTGTCATCCAATGGACAGTTAACCCGGTGGAGAGCGCCGGGCATCGCTTTTGCCCTCTCGCTTTAGTGAGAGACACCTCCGCCACGTGAAGGCAGTGAGTAGGACTTCCTCAGAGAGGCTATGTAAGACGCACGGTCATATGGGAGCATTTCAAGAGGTGTGCGGAGGGGTGGCCAACCCGCAGCGCAAGACACCCACCCCCGACCATCCTGAGGCTTTGGAGGCTATGACACTTAAGTCCAAGTGAGTCTGAACTGATGGAAGCGTTATTCCCCCTAGTTTAAGTAGTGCGATGTTAAAACGCGGTTTCACAGGATAGTATTCTTGTTTATGTTCCATGAAAGTCACGCAATTTCTCACAAGAGTCAGATTAAATCAATTTCATTACTAAAATTCGTCAAGGTCAAGCCGTTAATTAGGCAGTTTTGTTTTGGGTTGCTATAGTTTAGTCTTCATTTTATACATAAATGACTGAATGAGACAGTTCTCCCATATTGCAACTTCAGATCCCAACCACACCCAAACTTACTGTAATCTGATGGTTGAACATGACCCTATTCTTTTAAATCGCAAAAGCGAATCAGCGGCAAACTACGATAGGTAAATATGACAACGTTGTCTAGTAACATCAGTTCCATGAGGGTTATTCACTATTCAGAACCTATTAAGGTCCACTTTTAATTCAACCCGCAATTACCATAGGTTTATCTCGTTATAACAGCTTACTGTTCAAACCACTGTATGAGTTGTGACTCATAGCTTTTTTGCGTTGCTTGTGTTAAGAGTTTTCGAGTGCAAACATGCCGCCCCTGCAACTGCTATGCATCTCAGACTACCTGGTGAAGTCTGATGTAAAGGATGAAGTTAACATGTGAAGGGTGAAGGCCCTCCGGAAATAAGTAACGCATGTTTTCTTTGAATTGTTAAATCATCGTCTAAAACATTATGCTTTAATTATTGCAGACAAAATCAAGACATGATATGCTACTCAGCATGAGTGGTGCAACTAATGCTGTATCAGCCGTCATAGGAAAGGCATCATGTTTCACTAGTTATCTCATCTAAATGCTGGAAATAGTGGCTGAGTAGAAATGCACGACAGTTCACACAAAATTCTGTTTTCTGAAAAACAGAAGATAAAATGTAACGCACGGAGAGTGGGTTAAATAAAGGTTTGGACAACCAGTGTATATATCATTTCTCATATAATAGTTGTGGCTCATTATCAAGTACATTTAAATGCAAGTTATTCAGCTGTTAACGTTTTGGTCTAATGTACAAGTAAACTTGATATCACGAAACAAACAAATCAGCTTAGTCTTTTAAATTTTCGCTATTCTACCAAGTACTTATCTGATTCAGAATCAAGTAGATCTTTTTCGTTTCGTTTTCTCTTTAATAGTAGACCTCTGTTGATAGTATTAGTTGTTTATTTGTTGTGACATCATTCAGATGACTCCTGTACTCTCAATCAAGTGTATGCTTCCCTTGCTTTATAGTAAGTATTCGACCTTCATGTTTTGTAGCAAAATCAGCCCTTATTAAAAAAGAAAGTATTACATGAAACTACGGAGAATATTTTGAAAATCGTTTCCTGATTTATGTTGGAATTACAGGCACAAATCATTCTTTGAATTTCCTATACATGGACGAGTGTTGGTAGAGGTGTGCCAGTGTGTAGCACATCCTGGTTAGGTACAGTGTGGAAGTGAATTTTTCCCTGGAGTACCCAAAGGAGAAACGCTATTCATTTTGTGTGAACAAAAGGTACGGGAGAGGGATTGTTGAGGCTAGTTACACGTGAATTGCTGATGAGTGTTAGATTTTTTTCTTAAAAGTTGCCACCGTTGTTCTGTGATGCTATTTCTAGCGACAGGGAGTCCTAGAAAAAAGCAGTGTATAACTTTTAGGGTTAGATTTTCATCTTCTTAACCAATTGGAAAGCATAGTTCGTTGTCCTATAAAAGTGCCTTACTGTCACGATTCTCCATCTAACGGTACGAGCTTCTAACAAGCATACTATACCATAAGCTGTTCAAATCGCTCTTATTCTTTCTGACGTAATAGGAATTTGACGGTAAATCTTAACAGCATATGTAATTGACTGTGGCATACAAGCCCGACAAGCAAATCAAGATGTCAGTTGGTTAGGTTTTTATGGTTGATAAAAAGTCGCGGCTGAAACCAATACACTTTTTTGTTAGTTTTTGTGGTTGATAAAATAACTTGTTAATTCCAGAGCATATTTTTTATCTGCGAAATCTATAACTTGTATTTGTCTACTGTAGGGGCTGGATGAGTGATGTGTTCAAAATGAATGTCCGGAATGTAAATAAAAATCTGACCTAATAACTAAGCGTATTTGGCAATTAGGCTTCTTTTATTGTTTAATGAACTTTGTTTTCTTCATCTTTGTTAATTTTTTCAGAGACTGTCCCCGTTTTTTAATCGATCGTAGTAAAGAACTTCATGTCCTGGGATGCTGGTAAGTTAATAACTTCTCTGACATTGTTTCAGACATTTTTAATTTCGTTGTTGGTTACTATATCATCGGTTGTCATCGTACTGAAATGGTTCGTTCAGTATCAAAAATCTACTGCACGCCATCAGTTGGTGGACAAATACAGTGTTCCTGATGATCACAAAATAGTCGCTTTCTTCCACCCATACTGTAATAGTGGTGGCGGAGGAGAACGTGTACTATGGGTAGCAGTTAAATGTATGCTGGAAAAGTAGGTTTATACTCATTTGTTCTAATATATAATTAAAAAATTTAGGTATAAAAACATTGTAATTGTAGTATTCACTAATGACGCTGAGTGTCTTTCAAAACCCAATAATGTTCTGCATAATGTTAAAAGGTTGTTTGGGGTATCTATAAACTGTGTACCTGGTTCGTCTGCTATACATTTCGTACCACTAAAGTCACAGATGTTATTGACACCCAAACTATATCGGTTATTTACTTTAGCCGGTCAAGCTCTAGGATCTATATTAGTTGGCTTAGAAGCTGTATTCAGGTGTCCACCGGATGTTTATATTGATACTACAGGATTCGCTTTTACAATACCGTTAGCCAAGTGGTTAAGTAATGCACTGACAGCAGCTTATGTCCACTATCCAACTATATCTTCGGATATGTTACGCCGTATTTCACCCTCGCCACTTTCAAACAATAAAAGTCAAGTGGTTTTAACGTATAATAATGCTGCGTGGATTCGAAATAGTAAGATCTTTTCAAGCATAAAGGTTCTATATTACAAGCTATTTTCTAATGCTTATGGATTTTCTGGTTCAAGTAGAAATATTGATGTTGTGATGACAAATTCATCATGGACTCAAAAACACATCCAATCTCTTTGGGGAGGAAGACCTGTTGTACTTTATCCTCCATGTCCTACTGAAGATTTGGGAAATAAATTATCATGTCAACAACGAAACAAGTGGATCGTATCTGTTGGTCAATTTAGACCAGAAAAAAATCATCAAGTTAGTTCAGTGTTTTTAAGAGTTCAGAAAGGTGTTCTAGTGTACCGATTACGTCTTAATAACGAAACTCTGTCTTACTTCAGTGTTCTCTTCTAAACTTATCAGCCGAGTGTCTTGCTGCATTGCGTTGGAAGAGAACCTAGTTGTATGTGTTTAGCTGTAAGTTGACCAGCTCTTCGGTAAGCATAGCTTTGAATGAAACGTGTTTCAATTTCAGGGGGATATGAATTTCTCCAATAATCCTAGGAAACCATTTTAACGACTAATTTCAAACATTAATTATAAACGGCGTTTCAACAGCTAGCAAGCATTCAACATGAATGACTTCACAAAAAGTTAAAAGATAGTTGAGAATATTCAGTAGTAATTTTGTTGTTTTCGATTCTAATCAACCGTACTTCATTTATTATTATTAGTGAGCCTCAGTAAGATTCAATATCTTCATAGTTACCAAAAGTGGTTACTTCAATTTAGAAGTTATTTTCTCTCATTTAGCTAAGAATTTTGTTTGGTATCTCCCTGTTCTAGTTGTTGCTCAGTGTGTAAAATCTGATAAACTACATAGATGAATCTACTAACAAGGTTTTGAAACAATGATTACTTGTTGGTAGGCAAAATAGGATTTCGTACTAAAGCACTAAGAATTAAGAGAACACATTTGATAACTATGTTAAGTGGTAATAATTAGATTTAGAAATCAGAACGTATTCAAAAACGGACGGTGTAGAATAACAAGAATAGTGCATTACCTTCAAAGTTTTCGTTGATGACAATGAAGACTTATCAATTCTAAAATCCTTAGGGTAGGCAACGTCTATAGATTTTATTCAGGCTTTAGTTGCAGATAACTCATTAAAAAGAGCACAAGTCAGTGTACAAGAAACTGGTGGTGTCATCCCCTTAGTTATAAACCCTGAAAACACAAAACTTTATGAATTGCAGAGTCACAAATGTACATGTTAGTAATAATATACTGTTTTGTTTACCCCTCTGTGATTCTCAGTTTTGATGGGTAATTGTACTATGTTGCTGCTGAAACCTTGAGTGAAAAAGCTATCAAACTTATGACTTCAAGGATGAGTGTCTAAATCATTGACCCATAGTCACACAGTAACCAAGACTATTTGGAGTGTATTTTTTTGTGATAATAGGAATTTATTCCTGTCAAACAGATAAAGTTGGAGGTATCCAAATAATTTTTCTTTTAGGAAACCACTGAAAACCGGGGAGTACTGGACGGCTGTTTCTTCCTAGTTCTTAACTTACCAGCAGTACGCACCCACTAGGCTTCGAACCTAGGACCTTTCGGTTAACAAGGAAGCTCGTAGACCATTCAGCTACTAGGACCCGACTCAACGGCACATGAATTCAAACTTCTTTCAGTTAGTGATTTTGGCGTGACCACCAGCCAATGTCATTGATGAGTATTTGACCTAAAATTCCTGCAAACAAACTCTTGTAAATTAATCCGATGCTCTCTAGTGACTGACTGCAGGACGAAATTGCCTGGGTTTCTAGTGAGAAGTCGTGACCAGTGAGGTCCACCCGGTCGAGTGGCTAGATTGAGGTCAAATACTCATCAATGACATTAGCTGGTGGTGGTGCTAAAGTCACGAATCGGTAAAAGTTTGAATTCATGGCCTGTTGAGTTAGGTTCCAGTGACCGAATGCTTTACAAGTTCACCTTGTAACCGGAAGGTCCTGGGTTCGAAACACAGTGGGTGCGTACTACCGATGAGTCACAAACTAGGATGAAACAGCTGCCCAGTACTCCCCGGTTTTTCGTCGTTCCCCAAGTAATATCAATCCGTGACTGAACTTGCAACAAATCGAATCCCTATAAACAAATTCTTGTAAATAATTTTTCCCGAAAATAATCCCATCCATTCGAATGAAAAGTGAAGAGAATTCTGGTGTTAGTAAGTCTTAGTGATTTTTGATATGACCACTTCAGGAGTGAACAGATTATCACCGTAGTTTCAGTTCACATATTCTAGTTATAATTGTTACCAAATATTTAAATAACCCAGATTTAACGCGATGCATAGAACACTGGAAAAGATAGTAGCGAACCAGTTTTCCACTTGTTTCCTGTCTTCAAATAATGAGGAAATAGCCAGGTTTAATAATAAATTGAGAAAATTTGATGTGGTTTTGTTCTCTGAGCTGGATGGTTAGTTTGCGAAGCTTTCATCACCTTACTGGGTGACATCTTCAGCGCATACTTCAATTTGAAGTGAGCTTTTAGATTTCTCCACGAGTTTATTAATCATCTCTCCTGGTGACCTTGGACGTGATTGGTTGTTTGTGTGTGTTTTCACACCTTCTAGGTTACTTGTATTGGAACCGGTTGTTTCTTTGACCTAAACTTTGACCCTTTGTGTGTGAAGTTTCTTTCTTATTGCTTGATAACTTTTGTCTATCTCGATGTGTCTATTGATTGATGATTCACTGGAATGCCAAGCTTCTAAAAATTCTCTAGCATTCTTGTTATTTCCTTTGTCTAATATTTGAACGTTGTCCCAGTCGAATTGATGTCCGTAGTTGTCTGTGTGTAGTGAAATGAGGGAGTGGATATCATGTCTTTTGACGGCTAGCTTATGTTCGTGGATACGAAGACGAAGGGGACGTCCACTTTGGCCGATGTAGTGTTTTTCGCAGTTGTTACAGTTTATTTTGTAGATGATGTTGGTTTTGTCTTCTTTCTCTGTTGAGTCTTTTGGTTGACATAGAATTGAGTGCAGCGACTTTGTTGGTTTGTGTACGACGTCAATTCCTAAAGGTTTGAAGAGTCTTGTAGTGATTTCTGAGATATCTTTTATATATGGTAAGGCAATTTTCTTTGTGCTTTCCTTGGTGGTTTTTGCTTTGGTAGGTTGGCTTGGGGGTATATGTCTCTTGATGAAATTCCGTGGATATCCATTCTTTTGGAAGACGTCCATGAGATACCTTTCTTCAATTTTCCTTAAGGTGGGAGTGCTGCAGTGAGTCCTTGCTCTCTTGAATAGTGTTTGTATGCAATTCCTTTTGTGTGTTATTGGGTTGTTGCTGTTGTAATTCAGTATTTGGTCTGTGTGAGTTGATTTCCTATAAACTTGAGTTTCTAATTCTCCTGTAGTTGTTCGCCTGACTAAGACGTCCAAAAATGGTATTTTGTTCTCGGATTCCTCTTCTCTTGTGAATTTGATGTCGTTGAAGACGTTGTTTATTAAGTTGTGAGTTTTATCTAATTCGTTTCTTTTGATGATTACAAATGTGTCGTCGACGTAGCGTATCCAACAAATATCAACAAATTGTAGATATCCAAAAAGCAAAATTAGAGAAAACCCTCAACCAGGAACACCTGTCAACGCTGATCACCGCAATTACACTGTCAAGTGAAAAACACAGAGAACAAAGACGAAGAGTCCTCAAAACCAAAGTAGCCAAGATTAGAAAACAACAACCAGACAATTCGCCCATAGACTGCGTAGTCAACCTATCAAAACAACCACTATCAAAAATGGAACAACAACTACTACAAAAAGGATTAAACTACAACACCGGAGATGCTTCAAAAACTGATTTCTTCGCTGCCTTTGAATCATTACTCAAATCATCAAACTTGAACGAGGAAACACAGGAAGAGATACGCCAAACAATTGTACCAATGGTCAAACAGAAAAGACAACACACACAACTCAACGCTCAAGAACTAAAGGCCCTCAAAAAGCTGAAAAATAGGAAGGACATCGTCATTTTACCAGCCGACAAAGGAAGAACAACAGTAGTCATGGACAGAGAAGAATATACCAAGAAAGCTGAAGAACTACTCAAAGATGAAGATGTATATCAACAACTCCCAACAAATCCCATACAAACATTGGATAACCGCATCCAAAGGACCTTAAACAAGCTCACCAAAACTGGACAGATCACAAAACAAGACCAATGGCGAATGAAATCCAATGGACCAGTCCTACCCGATTCTACGGCAGACCAAAAATACACAAGGCAAATATCCCATTACGACCAATTGTATCACTCCCAGGAACTCCAACATATAATTTATCCAAAGAATTATACAGAAAACTAAAACACCTAACGGAATCTTGCGATCACTCCATCAACTCTGCTATCCAATTCCTAGAGAAAATCAGAGGCATCCAAATAGATGAACAAGAAATAATGGTATCATTCGACGTGACAGCATTATATACATCCATCGGACAAAACCTAGCAAAAGAAACCATGGAGCAATTACTTAGCAACGACGAACAACTGCCACAACAATCAAAAATGCAACACACAAGCTGGATGGAATGCATAAATCTATGCCTAACAACATACTTCCAATTCAACGGCCAAATATATGAACAAGTCAAAGGAACACCCATGGGATCGCCAATATCAGGTTTGATTGCAGAAGCAGTGATGCAAAGACTCGAAAATATAATTCTACCAAAGATCAAACCCAAGATTTGGATACGCTACGTCGACGACACATTTGTAATCATCAAAAGAAACGAATTAGATAAAACTCACAACTTAATAAACAACGTCTTCAACGACATCAAATTCACAAGAGAAGAGGAATCCGAGAACAAAATACCATTTTTGGACGTCTTAGTCAGGCGAACAACTACAGGAGAATTAGAAACTCAAGTTTATAGGAAATCAACTCACACAGACCAAATACTGAATTACAACAGCAACAACCCAATAACACACAAAAGGAATTGCATACAAACACTATTCAAGAGAGCAAGGACTCACTGCAGCACTCCCACCTTAAGGAAAATTGAAGAAAAGTATCTCATGGACGTCTTCCAAAAGAATGGATATCCACGGAATTTCATCAAGAGACATATACCCCCAAGCCAACCTACCAAAGCAAAAGCCACCAAGGAAACACAAAGAAAATTGCCTTACCATATATAAAAGATATCTCAGAAATCACTACAAGACTCTTCAAACCTTTAGGAATTGACGTCGTACACAAACCAACAAAGTCGCTGCACTCAATTCTATGTCAACCAAAAGACTCAACAGCGAAAGAAGACAAAACCAACATCATCTACAAAATAAACTGTAACAACTGCGAAAAACACTACATCGGCCAAAGTGGACGTCCCCTTCGTCTTCGTATCCACGAACATAAGCTAGCCGTCAAAAGACATGATATCCACTCCCTCATTTCACTACACACAGACAACTACGGACATCAATTCGACTGGGACAACGTTCAAATATTAGACAAAGGAAATAACAAGAATGCTAGAGAATTTTTAGAAGCTTGGCATTCCAGTGAATCATCAATCAATAGACACATCGAGATAGACAAAATTTATCAACCAATAAGAAAGAAACTTCACACACAAAGGGTCAAAGTTCAAGTCAAAGAAACAATCGGTTCCAATACAAGTAACCTAGAAGGTGTGAAAACACACACAAACAACCAATCACGTCCAAGGTCACCAGGAGAGATGATTAATAAACTCGTGGAGAAATCTAAAAGCTCACTTCAAATTGAAGTATGCGCTGAAGATGTCACCCAGTAAGGTGATGAAAGCTTCGCAAACTAACCATCCAGCTCAGAGAACAAAACCACATTAAAATCATCCACCTGAGGTAGAAATCTTCTCTATCATAACTAAATTGAGAAATGAATAAATTCATTTCAAAGGAAATGGAACTAAAGTAAATTTTTGGGTGAAAATATGTTGTTAACTTTTGAAAGGTAAAGTATAACCCACAGCATACTACAGCAGAAGTAAATCAGTGAGGAGAAAGTAAGTTTACAATGGGAAAGATAAAAACAATACAACATGAAAAGTGAAATAAGTTTGTAAAATGAGAAAAACAAGTTTACAGATCATATTTAAATAGCTTTAAAACTGACCATACACATTTATCAGTCACGAAGTGGTTGATTTAAATTTTATATCGAATGTGCCGTATATTCAATGTACTATGACACAGTCCTATAGGTAATGCAGTTCACTGCATACTACATATCTCATCGGCAGATTTCAATAAAAATTCAAATCCTGACAGTTAAAGTGTTTCTCATCCGGTTCTGGAAAGAGTTAGTGTTAGCCTGAATATCTAAATCCCGAGTGTTGGTTCTCGTAGTTAATGTTAGTCTCTCCGAGTTTGCAGATATGCGTTACTGGTAATTTTATAGCCGTTAAAGATGACTTCATCGATAAAGAAAACTTCCTTCTCGGAGTTGTTTTTTTTGTTTTATTGTAATATTTTAATAACCATATGGTGAACGAGAATGAGCGAGCTGTATAACATAATTCAACATATTTTATATTTAGCTTCAGCTAGATGCTTTTCATCGTTTCCTCAGTCGACAAGTGACAACTGAAGACAATGATGGACAGTTATTCAAACTCTGTTTAATAGGTGGTTGCCGGGATGCTGAGGATCATGCTCTAGTATTAAAATTGAAGCAACACGCTGCTGTATTGGGTCTTGGTGATGCTGTAGAATTCCATATTAATTTGCCTTATAAAGAATTAAAAAGTTATTTTGAATGTTGTTCTGTTAATCTACATACTATGGTGGATGAACATTTTGGAATAGGTAAGGATAAATAAGTCTTTTTTCCCCCAAAAATAGTTTTATCAACAAATAATTTCATAATTTTCAAATTACTTTGAAGTCAATTTTAGGATTAAATACCAAGATTGTAAGTGGTTTTCATTTTGTTGACTAGTCAAGATCATTTTGTTACTACTTTAAGTTATTGTAGTGTTGTCAGTTAGTCCGTAGTTACATAGTTAGGGAGAAATCTGAAAGAAGCAACCTCATTTACCTGCCTACGTGAGAAGCATCATTTCACTTACAGGTGGAACTGATGAGGATATCAAGACAAGGGCCGGGAAAGCAAGGCAAGCTTTCATTTCTCTCAAGTCTGTGGAGGTGAACAGCACTCATCATAAAAAACAAGATACTGATTTTTAACTCCAATGTGAAGTCAGTGCTACTTACTATACGGATCAGAGACTTGCACTGCGCGTCACGAAGAGCACCTCAAACAAACTAAGGACCTTCATCAACAGCTGTCTTCACTCAGTGCCCAATATCAGAGGGGCGGCCAGAAGAGATCAGCAACAGGGATCTCTGGGAGCGAACCAAGGCAGCAGGAACCGATTGTGCAACAAATCTGTAGGAAGAAGTAGAGGTGGATTGGCCATACTCTGAGAAGTGACATCACACACCAGGCGATCTCTCGAGTGGAACCCGAACGAGGAGCGGCGAGATGCTTATCAGTGCGAGGGTGATATAGAGGACATGTGAAGAGGAGATGAAAGCATGTGGGCAGACGTGGAGTCAGGTTAACACGTTGGCAGAGAGCCAAACGCAATGGAGACGTGCGGCTGAAGCTCTATGTTCCTCTAGGAACTAAAGGAAACAATGCCAGTTAGTCCCCTAGAGTGGATAACATCGAATTCGCGTGTGTATTTATCCGTGTTGCATAGTAAAAGTCATTGCAAACATTGTATTTGAATTATGTTTTAATTCTCATTCGTTTTAGAAGTTAGTGATTCATTTTCTGGTTCCTTTTGTATAACTGATTGTTATATTAAAATCCTTGTAAATTGTTATTCAGTATGTGTATTTAGCATATTATAGTGGTGACAATCCCAGCCAGTCGCATACAGGTATCATGAATTAACACTTCAGCTGCATCTTCTTGGAGGCTGGTGATACTAACCAGTTTTCCAATACTTTGTAAGTTGGATCTTCAGTATATAGCTGATGGAGCTAATGCTTCACAAACAATATTGTTGCACATGTTAAGGTAATTTACTCGGTTACCTTTTAAGGATTTCATCGTGAACTGACATCGGTTAGAGGACCATTGGAAAACCTGGGAGTACTGGACAGCTGTTTCGTCCTAGTTAGGCACTCTTCACAGTAAGTACCCACTGAGTTTCGAACTTAGGACCTTCCGGTTACAAGGCGAGCTCGCAGACCATAAAGCCACTGAGACCGTATCCAATGGTCCCTGAATTCCAACTTCTACCAATTCATGATATGGCGCAACCACTAGCGAATGTCATCGGCGATTATTTGTCCTCACACCAGACCTTCTGTACCCCATCGGTCGTGACTTCCTACTAGAACCCAGGTGCCTACCTACCTTATCAGGTTACCTTATCGTTTCTAGATTAACTTCAATAATTTTTCGTAAATTAAAGGGACCTCTTATTCATCAATTCAGTGTTTGCTGCTGTGGCTGTGACATTGTCGCAATTGTTAGTTTGTTCAGTGGTGAAGCTGAACTGCACTCAATATTATATATGTTAAAAATGTGACAAACATGAAATCACTTTTGTGTTTAGTAAAAGCAATTCTTCTATTACCTTATAGCTGAGCTTGGGGATCATTGATTGAAAGACTAAGCAAGGCTTCCACCTGATTTATTCTTAACATCTATCTTATATCTATCTGTGTAAATAGAAAAATGTCCAGGATTCATCATTGTTTTGTAGGCTCAGCCAGTCCTCTGAGAAAGGATGAAACCACTGGTGTACATTTTTAGATCCACTTGGGCCTAACGCATATTCTAACATATTTTGTGTTTACCAGGTGTTGTGGAAGGCATGGCATCGGGTCTTATCACAGTCGCTCATAGATCAGGTGGTCCACTGACTGACATTATCGGACCTTCGGAAAGCAGTATATCATCTATTCAGTCAGAAAAGTCCGGTGTTGGCTTCCTTGCATCTACAGCTGAAGAGTATGCAGACATCTTTGAATTAATACTGTTAAAAATGTCTGAAGCACAAATTCATGCTATACGTCAAAACGCCATTAAATGGGTACGTGAAAAATTCTCTGAGGGGTGTTTTATCAATGGTTGGATTGAACAGATGAATTTATTTGGTTTGGAGTCGATTTCTTTGTGAAATCAGCTAGTTGTGATAATGTTAGAAAAAAGTACTTCTCTTTCAATGTCTTTTGTAATAAATGATGTATTCTCGAATTCTTTTTGGTTTCTCAATGTGAGAATTTCTTTATCTTTCATTTTTCTTTCTTGAAGTGTAAAACAAACAAATCAGGCTTCTTCATGTGCTGTATTTTTTCGTAAAATTCAATAAAATACCTTTTCACATGATAGTTTGTTATCCTGAATTGTTGAGTTTCAAGAGTAAATAAGTGAATTGAGTGTTTTAAAGATTTCTGTGTATTGTCTTTTTAGATAAGTACCAGGTGACAGTATATCTTACTTACCGCTGTTATCCACAGATAACACTTCATATGCGTTTGAATGTTTCGAGCCTAAATAGAATAAAAATGTGCTGCACAACCTTGTTTTGGAATCAATCTAAGGAGTCTTAATTTTCAAAGCGGAAGAATTACCACTGAGCCACTATTTCTAGATCCACTAGTTTACTTTTCCAAAATTGTGTTGCCTTCTGAAAAGCCTAACAGATGAATCTCAGTCCCCGTATCAATTGGTGACTAGCTTCAAGGTGTATTCTCCAGACATTTTGTAGGAAGTCCTGACCTATATGATCCACTTATTGAGGACTGTTGTTCACGGTTGACACTGGGCGAAATTGCACGACAACATAAGTTGGCGTCACCGGTTTCCATCAGGTCAGCATTTGTGCAGTACAGTCAGTCAAACTGTAAATTGAAATTGTAAAACTACCGTTGACTGATGAAACTGAAGAAATACATGTAAATTCATATTACTGTAACAGTTAATCAGTAGTGTGTTTTCGTAATTCTAAATAAATGGTTATTTCTTTTTGCAAGATACAACCTTCAGGAGAATGGAGCATAAGGCATGAGATTATTTGCTATGGTATTAAATATGTTAAGACTATGATTTCTCATTATCAGTTAAATTTTGAAGTGTAAATTTTGTGTGTGTTGTTTCTATAACGTTGCCAGGAAATAACTTCAAATCGCCGCTTATCGAGTATGATCCGATTGTATGGATTAAATTATTCAGTTTAATTGAATCTCCAAACCTAAAGGGCTTCAAATATTAACTTAGTCTCATATTTTTAGTAGTTCCATTATTTTAGGTTTTCGTGTTTTATATGATAACATAGCAGTCTTTGAACTATTTCTTGGTTATGTTGCACTTATCATCTGTGTCACCACCATTAAGGACTAGACACATGAGCCTGATTGGCTTCAAAGTGATACAAGAAGTTCGAATAATTCAGCGGCAACGTCTCTGAGTACAGAATAGATTTGAATCCCATAGACGATATCATTTCCTTTTAGGCTACAGATATGCCTTGCTAACGAGTGCTAGTAAGCACGAAACCTAGTTGGAGAGCTTTCTGCTGATTGCCTTTAACCACCTAACATTTTATTTATTGATGTGTGGGAATTTTTCATTATATGGATTTACTCCTAATTAGACTCTTAGCTGCATTTCTAAAGGATGTCACCAAGTGTGTGTCGGTAGAAATAGGATGAGATGGGAACACTGATGTTTTTGAAGCACCATCTTCTCTGTGTCTTTATCCACCAGCACAGGCTACTTACCTTTTTCATTTTCTAATTGACGAGTAGACTGTGAAAACTATATCTAGTCAGTGTGGAACTTATGGATATTTTGTGATCTTAAAAAATTATGTGTCATTCTCATATCATCAGTGTATACTTTTGGGGGTTGGGGGGATCGAAATATCTCCAAAGTTCTACGTCCTCTGTTGTTCATGAATATGTCCCCTACTATTATTTATGCATATTTCTTTTGGAAATCCAAACCTGTTAAAGCTTTGTAGTTGTATTACTGAAGGGTTCCTTTCACTCTGTGAGACAGTTTCACTGATCCGGTTTCCAACTGCCTCATTAGTTAATTTAATGAATACCAGTGTTTGTTCAATTGAAATTTATCTATTTTTCTTTGCTAACTATGTAGTAATCATCGTTTGTTTCAGTTCAGAGGAAATAGTCAATTATTTAGCAATTTCGAATGAACGGAAGAACATTAGTAGGTATTACTTTAACTTTTGATGTTGCTTTGCGTCAATTAGTGATATATTAAGATTATCTGGTTTATGAATTTTGATGACGTCATACATAATATGGATATGATAAGTTTTCAACATCAAATGAAACTACTGAGATTCACATACAAGCAGCATTATCAGGGGCATAAGACTGATTGTTATTTCTTTAATTACCTAGGCATACTCGTTGCCTTTTCTCAGTAGTTTATTGCATTCTTTTTTTTTAATAACTAATCAACAGTGCGCTCTGTCCTCCTTTATGGTTGTGAGGAATGGCCATTGAAAGTGGAGGGCACAAAAAGGCTAGCTGTCTTTAATTATAGGTGCCTGCGTTGTATCTCCCGTATTAGGGTGGCACAATAGAGTGGATAGTATTGAGGTTAGGCGGGCAAGAAAATCGATAACTTTGTGAAAGTAAATCGATTGAGATTGTTAGGATTTGTGTTACGCATGCTTAGTCATCAGTCGCCTTCCTCGACGGGCAGTGTTAGCTAACGTAGGAGGGATCAGATTGGAAAAGGGCCAGTGGTGGTCAAACCAAAACATGGCTTTATCAGTCAATGAAATCCACGTGGAGAGGTGTAGATTGGTTAGCTGGTCGGGGTCCTAAGGATGGTAAAAACTATTGGCTGGAAACAACAATTAGAGATATGGCTCGAAATCTTCTTCAATGTCAGAGAAGTATTCACTGTTTGTGTTCTATCATATCCAATAAAACTCTTGTTTTTCCATATTACTGTTCTTTTCCCCTCACACTTCTGTTTATTATCTGTCTTTTGAATCTCTGTTTACTCTCTTCTCTTGCATTGTGTGCTGCAAGGAGAGGGAGTGTGGCAACTCGGACTGGTGCACATCTGTGCAAAGTTCTATGTTAACACCAGTCAGTGAGTTGTCATTTCAGCATTTCTTCTCTTCAACTTATTTGGTGATTGGATCTCAGTGTCTTCCACTGGCTTCATCTGTGTTAAGCCCTTCCAGGATAGGAACCTTTTTGTTTGATGCGGTATTTGGAGGTTCGTTTTACCTGCAGCCTCTTCTGCTTCAGTTGTCAGTGTGTCCTGAACGCGTCTTTTGTCTTTCGTAGCATTGTCGATTTCACTGTATATTGAACTCGGATTCTCCTTTCTCTGTTAATCTCTGCACTTGTTCATCCTCTGTTTCACCATCCTTCTCTCTTTTGTCTACTTCCAGGTGTCAGTAAAGAGCCATTTATTACTAAGCTTCTTCTTCTTGCCTAAGTCGTCCGTGTCACTTTCAAGAAGTTTAAGCTTTTCATGCAGTTTTCCCGGGTGATGTTGCTTAATGCCTCCAACTTTTCCTGATGACTATCGAGAAGGTGACGTTTGTAGGTTCGTTGTTCAGTTTCTGAGTATTTAGCTTAAAATTTGGTCTACTTTTACTTTTTTTGAAGGCATTATACGTCATCCTGAAGGTTCCTTGTATTGGATGACAATCTCAGCCTACATCTTTCTATCTAGTGTCCAGAAGACTGAGTCTTCACTTTCTTGAGATTGATATGAGGTCTATTTGATTTTCGTTGTGTTTATCTGATTAAAACCCTGTCGTCTTGTGTATATACGTGTGCTTCTACACTCCCCATGGTCACCAAGTTACTAGATGCACAGAAAGAAGTCTGTGAAGTGTTCTCCATTGTCATTTATTTCACAGAGAGACTCATCCCTTGATGAGTTCTCTTCCTATATTGTTTGCTCCAAGCTCGCTTCTTACTTAGTCTGTTATTATTTTGATGTCATCAGGTAGCTGAGGTTTTGTTCATAAGTGTCGTCCTTCCTTTGGTCTGTGTTGTTTAAGGATGCGTAACTGCAATGATCCTGGTAGAGATTGGTTCCTTCTGAATGGGAGCTTTCGATGATGTTAATGAAATCATGATAGCCTTACTCTTAACGTGTTCGTGGTTGTTATATGCGTGATTGTAGTAGATTACTGACTCTTCGGGTAATGACTTGGAGACTTCACTTTAATTCTGTTTTCTCTCACAGATTCACAGCCTTTTTATGTCATTTCTTCTCATTTCTTCTGTAATCTTAGCAGCTTTGCTAACCAGTGTCAAATATAGTGCTCATATTCATTGTTCTGATGCTTAATTTTGCTTTCATTGAATGCAGACTTATGGGTCGACTGGCTTCCTGGAGGCTTCTACCAGTTGGCGTCACCCATCCTCCACGATTCCAGTGGAGATTAATTTTCTTCTTTCTGTGCTTTGAATTTGTAGTAGCTTTCCGCGATTGGTTAGCAATAAGTAACTGTCCAACTTCTTTTATTTTTATCACCTGGGCATATAAACTCATTTATTTGATAGGATTGAACTTGTAGTTTTCTTTGTGCATAGTGAGATATATTCTTTCCCATTTCTGGGTAAGATTTCTATCATGTCTCCAAGATAACTACTTCATATATATCCTTAGTATCATTCAAATAAAAAATTTCAAAGTTGCTCTCCTAACCCTGCTTAGCCGATGTCCGTTCTGCTCTTTACAGTAATTGAAGTAGCTACCTTTTAAAAACCGTGACGTCGTAAGTTTTTATATGTGTAGGTCTCCAGCGTACTACATCTTTGCTTTTTTATAGGATACTGAGATAACTACTGGTGATTTAAATTGTTTAGAATGGTTTTGATAAGGTAGTATTCTTGCCCCTGGGCTGTTTCAAGGAATCAGTTATTTTTTGAAGTTTTATGGTAATTTCTAAAATTATTATTTATTTATTTATTTAAACGCATAAAAACTTGGTACAATATAGCACCAAGAAGGATGTGCCACACAGTAATAATAAAACAACATAGATCGAAAGAAAAAAATGAAAGAAGAGAAAAAAATATATACAAGTAGAGAACGGATAACGAACTTCATCTGGAAGGAAAACAGTCATGCTTAACAAGTTCGAACAGTATTCGTTAACTATAATCGGGAAGGGAAGAAAGAAGGAAACACGAGTAAATAGCACGCGATAAGTCTCATTGATTGTTTGTTGCTTTATTCAATTCATTGTGTGAGGGCTGAAATACTGCCCAGGCGCCCAGACCAAATCAGGTGGTTTTATTAAGGGACCACCCCCGAGCCTTTGACTTGGAGTCTAATCCGCAAGGCAGCGGAGCAGCATCAGGAGCTGCATTCCC